AAATTAGTCAATCAATACTGACTAGACTGGTAACTACTTAATAGAGCAAAAGACGCTATCAGCAAGAATTCATATTTCTTCGTAAATTTTATCTTATATTTTAGTCATTCCGGTAATTATAAAATCTGAATTATGTAAGTCAACTATAGCTATATCTTCATTCAGCTTTCATATTATTTGACTAGAATAACTTTGAAAACATGCATGATACAATCCGAAAAAAAAAGAATAATATACGGAGTTCACTAGCTAATATGCCGATACCATCTATAATTCTACTTCAATGATAAATTTAAATTTGAGTACTCCGAAGAACTCTGCTTTGTGAAATTTCTAAATCGGTAACTATCTCTAATAATTCAAACAACTATTAACGTGATAATAGGTTTATTCTATGCTCGAAGATTTAGTTATAAATCTCACCAATGTGTGAAACACGATTAAAACGGAGTGTTGAACTATAGGGATAAAAAACGTGGAACCCCTCGCCCACAGATCATCTATCAATAGCATCTTGTTATATTGCATGAACTGTTTCATTTTTGCATTTCTGGAAGATTAAATAAAATGATGATGAAGAAATGTGGCCTAAAATAGATACAAGAAAATAATCTCTTTATGATGAACAAAATCAGATACATCGTGTTTCAGATTTTCATTTTGCAAGGATTGCACTAACTGCTTTTTTTATTAGCTTCTCAAAATATTGAATAATATTGATTTTACAATTTGATAATGAAAACATTTCCTCATACTTTACTTTAGCTCCAATCGTCCAGATAATACTATAACAACAACAACAACAGAAGTATCTATTCATAATGAATTAAATTCATTACAGGATGCATATGGTCCATATATAGTTGTTGAAATAAAAGATGAAGAACATCGAATGTGTGTACTTCGGTGTATTTATCCATTTGATAGTTCAGGATCATTTCATATACATTTAATCCTATCACGTCATTATCCAATAATATCTCAATTATTTGTACGGTTCAAATTATTAACAAACAATAATAATAATAATGATGAACGTATAAAATTATTTCAAATACGTATACAAACAATATTTGATGAAACATCAAATAAATGTTTTTATCGTGGACAATTATGTTTACATAAATGTTTATTAAGAGTAAAACATTTATTTGATTTATATTATAAACAAGAAAAAATATCTTCAACCATTATAACAAATAAATCAAATAAAAAACAATTTGAAGAGCTTGCACATATCTTAGATCTTGATTTATCAATTGTTATCAATAATAATATTAATAATAAAAATTCAAATCGAATATTTGATCAATTACCATCACCATCAATGTGTATGACTAATAATCTAATAACAAATAATTCATCAATTCGTGCAAATCCACGTACATGTGGTGCTCGATTTACTGGTGGAACATATTTAATATGTTTTGGTCGAACATTAAATCTTCAACAACAACAGCAACAACAACCAACTTCTGCACCACCAATTCTTAATAGTGTCAATGATATATTCATTAATCGACCACATCCAGTACATATGCGATCAATGAGTTTAACAGTAACAAAAAGTCGAGGAAATTCAAGTACTGATGAACATTCATCAAGGTAAATTTTTTTCTGTTCTTGTTTTTTCTAATGTTTTTTCTCCTTAAGTTATCGATCATCAACAACATTAACAAATACAGTACAAATTCAACATGTTTTAAATAATCAACGAACAACGATATTTTCTGCTCCTGTACGTTTATCATTAGGTTCAAGTATACTTGCTGATCATCAACGTATGTCAACATCAGCAACATCATATCGTCGTCCTCTTAGTCATCATTTATCACCAATTCATTCGACAGTATCAATATATGATATGTCAATACTTTTACCAATAAGTAAAAAATTAGCTGATGATTATAAATTTAATTTAAACAATTTATTTGATATGTGTGAATTAAATCAACAATTAACAGAACGAATGGCTAAAACTGATTTAACTCATTGTTGGCGTTTACTTGCTACTTTATTAGCTTTACAACAAAGTTTACCAAATGATCATTCTTGGTTTGAAACACCAATTGCTCAAGGTAAAGAAAAAAAACTTTATAAAGGAATTGGTGTTCTGCAATGGGTAAGACTTTTCTCAAGCGGACTCGGATCGATGCTAATCAACAACCGGCAGAAAGTTTCACAGTTACAGATTTTATATAGAAAATAATATTATTCAATTTCTTCTATAGACTGTAACAAAAAGGAGAGAGATCATTTCCAATTCCATGAAAAAAAGGAAGTGATTCAAGACTTAGTGTTTTTCCGCCTCTAAAATCCGATCAATTCCGCTGCGTATACATTTGTTTGTTGTTGATGATACTAGATTTTAACATAGTGTTAGTGCCAAACGTTGTAAGTGTGGATGCGTATATGAATGCTTTTTTCGTTATGATAATACATGTTCATCTCTCTTGATAATTCACTTTCCTTTTTATGTGTTCAGTTACTTCGTCATATGATTGATCATAGTATATAAATGAATTTCCATGAAAAACAAACTTTTTCAGTAAAAATAATTTCACTTTTCACTTTAGTAACCTGTTCTCAAGTATAATAAATTGTTTAATCATGATGAAACCAGTTTTCACTCCTATTCTTTTTAATAAATTAGCAGTTTAAAAAAATTCAAATATTTTGAAACATCGAGATCTCATTAGTTGCTGAGTCCTGGTATGAGATCATACCCTGAACCCAAACCGACTGCAGGACACTAAAAAGAACAAAACAGAATGTTTTTTTTAATGTGTATGTGAATTCTTCTTTTAGGCTTAATTAAACATTTAGTTTCACATTATATTAGTAATGGTGATATTCAATCAGCAAGTATGTTTTTATTAACAATGTTAAATACACCATTTATGAAAACAAAAGCTCAAGTAAAACTTTTTAATCAACATCTATATGATCCAATTTTATATGCATATGCAAATTTATTACATTGTTGGAAACATTTTTATAAACGAACACAAATTTTATATCAAATCGATTATAATTGTCAATCACCAGCATCAATAAATCAAACATCATCGACAATTATTTGTTCAATTTGTTTTCAACCAGTTATTGGTCAACACATTTTATGTGCAATATGTGCACATGGTGGACATTTAAGTCATATGCATGGATGGTTTTCATCATCGGAAAGTAAACATCGATATTGTCCAGAAAAAGACTGTGCATGTCGATGTATTATAAAACAACAAGAATTATTAAATGTGAATACAGATCATATACAAAAGCAACAACATACACCAATATTGACACCAAGAGCTTATGGTGTTCGCACATCATCAACTAATACTCGTCCTTTTTGAGATTTTTTTTGTTCTATTGATGTAAATGTCTATTCCTGTTTTCAATAATAAAAGACAAACAAAGACAAAGAATAAAGTTTAATAGAAAAATGAAGCTCCATTACTTTTCAAAAAAAAACGACCAGGTAATGATAGAATGATGAAAATCAATAGAAGAAGAATTATGGAATGCTGATGTTGACGACAACGATGCTAAGGGCACTATATATTCAAGCCTTTCTCCTTCAGAAATCGATCTCAAACCACGTGCATTCAAATTAGATGAAACTTTCAGGATATGTCGGAACTATGTTGGAGAGGCAATGCTGAGATTTTCAGCCGTATATCCTGACGTTCGAGCAAGATATTTAACAAACAAGAGGCAAAAATAGCTCATTTGACAGATAATAATTTTCTATAGATCCTCATTCTATAGATTTTATTTTATTTTTTTCGTTGAAAGAGCTGTTTTTCTTACATTATTACTCGTTTTACTTCAAAAAAAGATGATAAAGTCAATACCTTTAAAAACTCTCAAAAAATAGGTATCTATTTACAGAAGCGCCTTTTTATAGAATCATAAAAAAACTTAATTCGAAAAACAAGCATTGCAGCCTCACATGCAAAAAGAAAGCAATTGGCTACAATGAAGCTCCTTTGAAATTTCAATCGTGCGTATTTAGAAAAACGTGAACAGAGAAAAAACGAAAAAGATTTCTTGTGTTTTCTGAAAAAAACATGTTTTTCAAGTAGAAGTTACCGAAAATCCTCGAAAACGTTTAGATAAAACGGGATGTCAAATAAAAAATTGTTTTATTTATCTAAGATAGGACGTCGTGCTATCTTTTCCTACGTGTTGATGTCAATTTCGATTTGTTTGATAAAAATTGACATTTTTTCATGGAAGGGGGACTTTTAAATGACACATTTGATAAAAACTCAAAATTAAAAACAAAAATAATCGATTTTAGTCATCAGTATTTGTTAATTTCTCAAATATTCATTACCGGTTAAAGATTATATAATTAATAAAAACCAAATTTCAACTAATCATTGATGTGTAATTATTCACAAAATGCTACCATTCCATGTAATATAAAGCAAGTCTGTAATAGTACAAGTAACCGTTTCAAATAGAATTTTTTTCATTTTTAAATAGTAACAAACTTTCGCTCAACTGTATTTATCGAAGTATTTCTTCTTAGTAAATTTATTCTTGATGCAAATTTTTATTGTCAGACTAAACCTAAGAACTAAAATTCATCATAATATGGGCGATGATAAATCAAATTGGCATGTATAATACTGCTTCTGTTCATATCTATAGTCATTAGTATTCACTAAGACAAATAGTACATATATAATGCCTATAGAAATCCAACAATCTATTTGCAACAAATAAGTTCAATGATATTTTTAGATAAATAATCTCAAAATATATCAATCGATTAACAATTAGAATCTTAGTGATATATTCATTCAATTTGAAAATACAATAAAATTGTTGAGGTGTATAACAAGGTCAGTATTTACTTTCATTTATTGTCAATGTTAAATATTTGATATACTAGTAGCAGGAGTAGCATGTCATTTGATATTTATTCTATAAATGGAAGAGTAACACTCTTTATTACAAGTAGTCGAAGGTACATAATACTGAAAGTTATGCCTGCACATCAACGACCGTTATCTTATATATATACTACAACTCCTTATACTATTCCTGCTTATGGAACTGTATCAACTCAGCCAATTCTATTAAATGTTAATTGGTATAGTTCATGGCCAAGTATTGGATCAATAATTATATCTGTTACCATGGTGATTTTCAGTTCGACTATTATTGGTCTTGATATTGCTAATATAGCTATTGAAGGAAACAAACAAAATGGAACTTCTAAATTAGGATTAGGAACAGCAACTGTTGGTGCCGGTATTTGGAGTGGATCTATATCATTTCTCGCTGCTATTTTTATTATTGCCATTAGTAAGTAGAAAATTTAATACTAGAGTATAATTATTGAAAAATTTTTAAGCTCATTACTTTGTGATCTAAAAAGACTATCAAAGTATAGAGAAAGAAATTTAGCCTTTCTTTCAGACTGTGACCGACGTTGTTAGTATACGATCAAAAACTACAAATCAATAGTATCTTGTGAAACTACTTCCTTATTCCATTTCTAGAAGATTAAGAAAAAGAAAGATGAACAAATATGTCCCAGAATAGATGAAATAAAATAATTTCGTTCTGATTAGCCATAGCAGCTCCATTTCGTTTCATATTTTAATTTTACAATGATTCTGCTAACAAATTTTAATTGTAAAGAAAATCGTATTTTTGACTTTTAAATGTCTATTTAAATAATATCTTTTTCCATTTTTTTTTTAGTCTTCATTGTTTTATTTTTCTTTTAGTATTTATACAAAATAAACGTGTTGCTGCTACATCTGCATTATTGGCAGTTACTTTGGCTTTCTTATTTACTATTGTTCTCGTTGGTTTAGCTGGTAATTCAGTACAAAATAATCTATCTAAAACTGATCGTACAAATGTGGAAAAAGTACAAGACAAACTTTTAATTGCTATACTATCTCTTGCTGTATTGGTCATGATACTTTGCATGATATTTTTTATTATGTATACGAAAGTCTTATTTTCATCATCTACTCAAAAATTAATAATGCGTTAACAACCAACAATATTTGATAGAATTGTTTTAGACTTTATCATATGCTTACTAAATGAATACATATATATAATTTGTTTAATGAAGTTTTTTTTATTTCTTCTCCTTGTGATTCTCATTTTGAATATGACAGTAAAAAGTGTATACAATTTATCAACATGAATATAAAGAATTATTTTTTTGTACTCTCATACTGTAGAGAATCAAAAATGAATAGAATGTTATTAAGAACAGTACAATACGCATCTAAAATAAGATTACTATTGTTAGAAAAAGAGAGGCGCCTTTTTGTTTAAAAAAAAAGGTTGTTAAATTAATTCATTCTCGTTCTGAATATAACTTGTATGTGTTTCTTTTTTTATTTAAAACCAATAATCATTCTTAACTGAAGCTAACATTTGGTAGCAGCGACTATCCTTATTCATGATGCCCACTGAAGGTGCCAATTTGGAAAATTTGTTAGAACGAGTTATTCAAATGAACATGATTATTATTGAAGAAATGCACCAGCAGCGTAAACAAATTACTGAACAACAAGTACTAATTTCATCACAGTTGTCTACACACTCGTCAACAACTGTACCAGATGAAGCATTAACTGATCCGTTATCACGACCATTCAACAAAATAAATGTCAAACCCAAAGAGTACAATGGCACCAATGAAGAAAATGTTGTTACTTGGCTAATAGCTTTGGAAGAAATTATGGCCAATCAGTTAACCCACGATGATGATCGAATATCACTTATTCTTAGTTTATTAGGTGGTACGGCTTTACAGTGGTTTGTTAACTTGAAATTGAAAAATCAACGACGTTCATCATGGAATGAATTTAAAGGATTAGTTAAAAAAGAATTACACCTGTTTACTTATGATGAATCACATGAATTATTACATCGAAAATTAAATGATAAACAAACAGCTCCATATATACCATTTATATCACGCTTAGATTTAGTTCTCAAAATGCATAATGCCTATGGACATATACGAGTTGATGACATTCAAGAATTGTTACAAACAAAAGCATGGTGGCCAGGAATGAAAGCTGATGTTCAACAATGGATTAAAACATATGTCAATTGTCAAATTTCAACATGTGGTAAAACCACAACTGAACCATTACATCCTTTAACTCCAGTGCCTCCATTCCATCGTTGGAGTTTTGATTTTATTGGCCAACTACCAGTAACATCTAATGGTAACCAGTGGATATTAATTGCACTTGATCATACAACAAAATGGTCGATAGTTAGAGTGGTTCCAAATGCTACACATGAAGTTGTTGCTAAATTTGTTTATCAAGAAATTGTTTTAAATTTTGGTTGTCCAACAGAAATAATTACTGACCGAGGAAATAATTTCACAATAGCGATGTTAAATTCCTATTTTAAACTGATTGGTATTAAACATATATTAACATCTGCTTATCATCCAAGGTCTAATAGTATTATTGAACGGTTTAATCGTTTATTTGGTAGTATGCTCGCGAAATACGTAGCTGATAATGCTATCAATCAATGGGATGAATATGTTGATCGTGCATTATTTGCATGTCGAACAAGACAACATCATGCCACAGGTAAAACACCCTTTTATATGGTGTATGGTGTAGAAGCAAAATTACCAGGTGATGAATTAATTCCTATCATTAATGATGATGAACAAAGTAATATTACTAATCGTGTACAACAAATTACTCAACTACTACAACAACGTGATACTGTACATGAACGTTCAGATTCAAATGCTAATAAAATGAAACAGTATTACAATCTCCACTCAAGAAACCAAGCTGCTGAACTACACGAGAATGATTGGGTATTAATACATAATGAAAACCGAAAGAAGTTTCATTCTCATTGGATTAGACCGTACAAAATTAGAAAAATTTGTCCATTAGGAACGTATCAACTCGAAAATGTTAAAGGACAAATTAAATTAGATTTAGTACATCGTGATATGTTAAAACGGGCATATGTTAATCCAAGAACAATGCAACAATGGTACAAGCCGTCTCGTCGAAATAATAAACACCATCTTAGTTAAAGGATGGAAGAGTGTTAGAAAAAGAGAGGCGCCTTTTTGTTTAAAAAGAAGGTTGTTAAATTAATTCATTCTCGTTCTGAATAAAACTTGTATATGTTTCTTTTTTTTATATCTAAAACCAATAAACATTCTTAACTGAAGCTAACACTATTGAATTAGTTGTTAAAAACTATTATTCAGTTGGCCGCTGTGACACACGATATATTTTTAGATATTATGAACTTACCAAAGACTCCGATTATAATGTAAGCGTAAAAAGAAAAAAAACTAGAATAAAATCTGTATTTTGTAAAGTAAGAAAGTAATTATTATTAGCAAATTCTTTTTCAATGTGCATTAATATATCACGTACTATTCGACGGTGTAAAAGAGAATAAGACAGAAGAATTCCTTCGTTTGTAGTTCAAATACTTTCTTCATCAAATATGTTGGTTGTGTTTCCTCGTTCTCTCATATATTGTTCCGTTGATTTTGGCCAACAAATATTAGTAAGTCATATTACTTCGAAATTTTAGTGAAAGTATAATTAAAAAAACTAACTGATAGTGCACAACTTCTGCACTAATTTTGTGTCCAGTATAGCGTGACAAAATATTATTGTGACCACTAGACAGTTTCCTTATGTTAGAAAAATGAAGTGTCTACTACAAAGTTGTGTAAAAATATTCGATTGGAAAATATTTCGTATTTAGGTTTCGAATTTTTTTAGTAAGTTATGTATGAATGTAAACAACACGACGTAAAGTTTATAGTGGTATCAAAATATTCGAGTTACAACAATCACAAGTTCCATAAGAAACAGTCTTATTAAAAACTTGATTTTCCCTCTATAACGACCGAAATTTTTTTTTCTCATAATCTCTAATAGAAAATATCCTTTTGTAAAGAGTTTACTAAACTCTAATGGAACATAAAATACGGAGTTTCATTAGCTTCGGTTTTGTTCATACTTGTTCGCCTCTCTTTCAGTAGTTTGAGTATGGCTGAGTAAATGACGACAATAGATAAAGATATACAAAACGAATAGATAAGTACATACATCTTTTTCTTTTTTTCAATCCTTCACATATGCATTCACTCTAGACCAAGAGTCGATCACAAATTATCGTATTTTCATCTTAAAGCATTTCGCATTGATCGTCTAGCATCGGTCAAATCTTAAGTGCTTTCTTGTTTCTTCCTCTATCTCTTCTTTATTTGTGTTTTTATTTTTGAGAAAGTAAGAGTAAAAATGGCTATAAATGAGGAGGTATCGATTCTATGGTGAAGAAAAAAAAGGTTGTATTTTTTTTGATTTTTCAGGATCCAATCAATGCAAACGGAATTAAGGTCTTTTTGAAGGTTAAGGTCAGTAAATGCAGCCAAAGATAAAACTATCTTTGATTTGGATATTTTAAAAGCAACAATTAACAGGGTTTTCAGGACATGCAAGATAACGAATCTGGTAAACATAACTTCTTTTTTTGAAATTTTTTTAACGACCTTTTTTCTAACAGTGGTTGAATGATGCAATAGCATCAGCAACAATCAGTGGTAATACTATGGTTGTATTATCTTTCGTTTCACTTGACGATTTAGTAGACCATATCTATAAGGTAAGCGTAATGAGTATCTGATTCAATTACCAACTCTTGTATTTTTTCTTATAGAGTCATGATCTACAAGAAAGAATTTTAGATTATTTGGACAACCGTAAGTTTGAGCAATATATTTACTAGTGAACATTCTTTTAATTTTAGTTTAACAACAACAAAGATATCAATCAACAATAAACGATAATTTATGGGTAACAAATAACAATGAATGATTAATCAACATCTTATTCGATTATTTTTTTTAATTTTATGCTTCAAGAAAACGATTAATGCCCGGAGGCCTATTAAGACATCATCGGTGTTTCAGTAATCATTCATGTAATAAAATGTATCTACTACACTATGCTAGAGGATTAGGATCGTTACCATGAGCAAAAAGAAAAAGAAAAAAGAGACATGAACACACAATATAGTAAAACCTATGGAGGAGGAACATACATAGTATCACGGCATACAAGGAGAAATACATATGGGATTGGTCAGTCTGACCGGGTACCCCAATTCCTTTTATCATCAAAGTGCTTCTATAATATGTCAAATAGAAGTGATTTTTTCACTAGTTATAGTACTCGTGTAGTGCTAACGATATGCCAAGGACGAACGGTCTATAACATGTTCGAAACTAAAATAATCAAGTGTCTTCAGGAAAGATGTTCATAAATACCAATGGATTTTCTGAAGACACTTGATTATTTTAGTTTCGAACATGTTATAGACCGTTCGTCCTTGGCATATCGTTAGCACTGCACGAATACTATAACTAGTAAAAAACTCACTTCTATTTGATATATTATAGAAGCACTTTGATGATAAAAAGAATTGGGGTACCCGGCCAGACTGGCCAACCCCATATATATATAAACAGAAGAGGAGAAAGAATCAATTGACAAAAAAGTAGCCACTATATTGAAAGAAACATATCGCGACCTAATTAAACAGATGACTGCTGAAAGATGATAGTGACAGTAGTGAACGACTGTTTAGATATTAGGATGCAGTATGGGTGTCCTAGTCCATTCTCCCTAGAAGAATGCCGAGGAAGGGCCAAGACATGAGGAAATCACTGTCATGATTCCCTCGGTAACTAAGCAAATTATAAAAAAAAAATGTTGCGAGATTCCTGTTGAGGCGCTCGAAAATCAAGTAGAAATGGAGACAATCTCATTGAAAAAAAACTTTGGGTGAATTGCTGAAGACAGCCAAGGGAGTTCCTAGAGGAGTCTCTCGAAATTTTTCAGAGGCTTCCTCCCCATCACCTCGCCAACTCCCCAAATTTTTTCTCAAGATTTTCTTAATATCTACTTGATTTCTGGAACCCTTGACAGGAATTTCATAAAAAATATTTTCATGTTTTACTCAATACCCTCGGAAATCATGATTAGAGATTCTCCGGGAATTCTTAAATCTGTCGGGAGCTCCCAGGGATTCCGCTAGCGAGAGTTGATTCGGGTGTTATTGTGGGTTTTACTTTCATGCAATACGTACACCTACACCCTCCCCCCTTTTCTGTTTTCGATCATTAATCTCCTCTACTTATTCCCTCTCTGATACTAGATCATGCCAAAGTGGTTAATAAAAACAATTTCTTCAGATGTTAGCTATTAATTATCCTTTCTTTGTCTCAAATACTACTGTCATCTTTCGACGGCCATCTATATTTGATTTAGTCGCTGTATGTTTCTTTCAATGTAGTGGCTATTTTTCCGACGATTAATTCTTTCTTCTGTTCTGTTTTTTCTGTTTATATATGCACTATGATTAAACTGAACAAGCACTCCTCCTTCGTAGATTTCTAAACTTTTGGTAGTCATTGTACGACTATCTTTTTTTCACAGCACATTGAAGTATTCGACTCATAAATGGAATTTCTTTTCAATAACATAAAATCTACTTGATCAAACTTTCTAGTATTCAAGACTCTTCATATTAAAAATTTGGCGTGTAACAATGCCCTTCCGATTAACACCACCATATACACATTACATGATATAACACTGTGCATGAAAAAGAAGATGTATGCGTGATCTGAATAATTATCAACTATAATTGTACAGAATAATTATTGTCTGATTATCTTGATATAAAAAAAAAAAAATTTTCATAATAATTTTAGAATGTAATTATTTTAATCGATCCTAAAAATCAAATGGAAAAAAATGAATATGCACTTGATTATATTCTTCAAGCAGAATAGTAAGGATAAAAAGTGTAAAATAAAAAAGCTAATAAACTCATTGAATTATTATTAGTAATCTTCTTCGAAAACAAATTATACCTGGCATTATTGTTATTCCATCTGGAAAATCAAATCTAAGTAAATTTTCTTGTTCTTTGTTTTTTTTGACTTATATATGAATAAAAGTCATTGTTTATTTTTAGTATGGAATGGTGTTCATTTTATTTCTCAAGGTCCTTATGAAGGTGGTGTTTTTCGTTTTTTAATTATAATACCAAATACATTTCCTGATAACGATAGTCCAGTCTGCTTTTTTGCTAGGAATTTTTTTTCTTCATACAACAATGGTTTGCTTTTTTTAGCAAGTACTTTTCACATCATCAGTATATCATCCTCAAATAAATCCACATACAGGTGAACTTGATATAAAACGATATTTTCCTGTATGGAAGTAAGTTAAGAAAATGAATTGTTTATTATATGATTTCTTATTTCTATAGACGTAATGGACATCATCTTTGGCAAGTTTTACGTTATATTCGACGTATATTTCAAAAAATTGAAACTATAAATGCAGTAAATTCTGAAGCCGCTCATCTGTAAGAATTACTCAAAGAATGAACAAATTAAATATCATCTATATTTTTCTAGATATGAACATGATCCTGGAGCATTTCTTTTAAAAGTATCTGAATGTGTCAATCAATCAAAAGATAATCTTTATATTCCTGATTCAACAACTGCTGATGATCCACATGCTATTGTGTAAGTTAGATATATTATTTATCAAGAAATGAATCATGAATAAATATTATTTTACAAGATTATCGAGTTTCACTATGACATATTAACATATAGAAAATTATGATAATGCTAGACTTAGGATTTTACATCTAGTAACAGAAGGTGCATTGATAGATATTGAATATCTGGAAAAATAGAATTATCTTAAGAATTTCTTTTGATTATAGACTCTATATACAGTGAACACTGTGATTGGGCAAGAAGGTTTAGTTTTTATGCTTTTCGCTACTGTAAGTATTGAAAAGAATGCAAATCATGATTCGAATAGAGAAAAATTGTTTTCAATTAGAATATAAGGATATAAAAATTATCATCAGATTCGTGTGTACACACAGATACTTCAGAAAGTTAGAACCCTAGTTTCTAACACTCAGAAAGCGAACATATAATTTTGTTTACACTACATAGAATGATAGAGTACACCA